AGAGATCTTCCAACCCCAGGCTGCCCAAGCAGCCCGGAAGCAGCAAGACCCCGAACCAAGCATTCCTATACAATATTAATCATTTCTGGGCTGTCGAACCGTGACGTCACCTGATATGCCAGCTTGGCAGCTGAGCAGAGCAGTAGACAAAACATGAAGAAAATAATGTGTGTGGCTGTTGTTTTCGTGGTGTGTATCTAAAACAATTTGACATAACATTACACATTAAGACAAATATTATGGTTACTTTTACCGTCATAATAACATTTGTCCCTGACTGCAGCCTTTCTCTGCTTTAACTAACCTTGCATATAACAGCCTGAGAAAGACATCCTGGCTACACTAACATCTTCTAATACAACAGATCTCTAATCAATATCTATCTAACTAAGAAATTACCTAACAGCACAAATCTCAGAAAATCATATTTCAACACCTAAACTAGGAAAACATCTTCAATCAGTTTCATGGCAAAATCCTCTTTAGTGGGAATTTAGACTTGATGTTTCCAAAACAGTCCTATGTAAAACCTACCCAAACCTGTCTTTTGCAAATTCTTTTAAAGAAATGTGACCAAAAGGCAGACCTGAGCACAGCCAGACCTGGCCCCTAACAGACCCAAGGATAACTAGACCTGACCTAAAGACAATTCTAATGAACATCTGTGATTCAACAAAAACAAACAAAACAACACCAACAACAAAAGGTCATGTAGTAGTATAAATCCTGTGGATACTGATCTTCCTAAAATAAACCCAGTTCCTTGTTAACATACCAGGGTTATAATACTTTTCCTTTTTCAAATTAGTTTTATTTTGATATTTTTTTTTATTCAATCTGAATTTCCATTTAGTTTTAATTTAATTTAATTTTTGTTTATATAGTGCTTTACAACACCCAAGGGTGCTTAAAGTGCTTCACAACAAAACATATTAAAAATAAAAGCAAAACATATTAAGACACATAAACTAAAGAAAAGAAAAACATGTTAAAATTAGACAAATTTGAATCCAATGTCTGTAGACATCTATAAAATTCCTGTACAATACAAAGGAGTCAAAGTACAAACAGAATAAGAATCACAGAATATAAAATCTGTAAGCCTGTAGGCACCTGTATAGCGCCACTGCTATAAATTAAATGCTGAAAGCCAGTCTGAATAGATGTGCCTTAATTTAGACTTAAAAACCATTAACTCATTTATAGACCAAAGTTCAGGAGGCAGGGTATTCCAGAACTTGGGGGCATATACGGCAAAAGAACGATCACCCCACTTTTTGTACCTTGTCTGCGGGACAACCAGAGACAAAAGTTCAGAGGAACACAATGTTCTGACTGGGGTATGAATAGTTAAAAGATTAGACAAATAGGCTGGAGCAAGGCCATTAATGGCCTTGAACATGAACAATTAGTTTTAGTTAGTTCCATCCATGGCTTCATCAGTTTCAGTTTAGTTTTTTTGACTAGTTTCTATTTAGTTCATTTTAGTTTCAGTTTTGGCTTCAGTAATTTTAGTTAAGGATTCAGTGTGTGAATGACACATGTGAGGCAAACTAAGCAGAGCGTGCTGACATGGATTGTTGGGAGCCTGGTAAAAACATGCAGATATTCCCAGAAATGAGTCAGTCGGGCCCTTTTTAGTCCAACCATCTACACAGAGTATCACTTTACAGGCCTATCTCACCATTTCTTTGACTCTGAGTTGCACTCTGCTTTTTCAATGCAGTCAGTGTATTGATGCATGAAGCCTCCAGAGTTTAGAATTTGGGATCAAGTGCACCGATTTTTTGAAGGCATGTGTGTCACATAATCTGGTTGACATACCAGTCTTGATGCATATGGACAGAGTCTCCCACCTCAGCTGTAGATCTCTGCAGTTCATCCAGAGTGATCATGGGCCTCTTGGTTGCATCTCTGATCAGTCTTCTCCTTGTATGAGCTGAAAGTTTAGAGGGACGGCCAGGTCTTGGTAGATTTGCAGTGGTCTGATACTCCTTCCATTTCAATATTATCGCTTGCACAGTGCTCCTTGGGATGTTTAAAGCTTGGGAAATCTTTTTGTATCCAAATCCGGCTTTAAACGTCTCCACAACAGTATCTCGGACCTGCCTGGTGTGTTCCTTGTTCTTCATGATGCTCTCTGCGCTTCAAATGGACCTCTGAGACTATCACAGTGCAGGTGCAGTTATACAGAGACTTGATTACACACAGGTGGATTCTATCTATCATCATTAGCCATTTAGGTCAACATTGGATCATTCAGAGATCCTCACTGAACTTCTGGAGAGAGTTTGCTGCACTGAAAGTAAAGGGGCTGAATAATTTTGCACGCCCAATAT